TAAATGCCTTGGTACTTTGTGCTGCCTGACTGTCAGACACGCTACATTCTGGAAGTAACTTTTAAAGTGTTACTTAAATAAAATATGTCCTGCTGGTACCCACTTTTGGATCACCCAGAGCTTTTTTCCTATTTCCTTTGTAGTTCCATTTTTACCTCCTCCAGACAACATTCCTGTGGACCTTACTTCAATAACCAGGAAAGTCCACTATATTCTGGGTTTTGATATCTCAAGGCCCCACTTCTATGAGGACTTCAGTTTGCTCTTTACTCAACAGCTTTTCTCCTTGAGTAAGAAGGGGTTCACAGATAACTTACCTTTGCTGCTAAGGTGAAACTATACCTGTACAGCAAAGCTCACAAACCTTACCGGAACGCCTACAGATCATTGCTGCTCTTGTACTACTAGATCACTATCAGCACATATTTATGTCAATCTTTAATATGAGGGCAAAACCAACAGACAACTCACTTAAAATCCAAACACTTATCAAAGACATTCCTGTCACAAAAAATACATTCACTCAAGGCTGATGCCTTTAAAACAACAATGAAATAACAATTTCAGTGCCTTCTCAGTCACTAGAATAATTGCCTTTTGTTCTATCCAAGCTACAGTAACGCAACCATTGTATCCCTTTCCCACTGTATATTTTCTATTCAAGACAATTTATGATCAGTGCATCAACACAGTATTATGCAAGTCCATGTCAGTTTCAAACAAAAAGATTTATGTTTTGAGTATGACATTCAATCACAAAATATTTAGAGCAATATATTGTTTGCTGGTATATCATCATGAAAAGACTATATATAATATAGACAAAACAGAAGTGTTCCAAAAGTGATACAAGAAAAAAAGCTACAGAAAATTTGAGTCACTGCTCATGTCTCAGCTTAAAATGGAGCTTGTTAAAGTATTCAGTTTAGTAATCTTACACCATATCAGCACCTATTTTTCTATAGTTCACACAAAAGCACAACTTTTTTAACTGAAGTTATCACAGCTGTCAACCACTTTTATAACTACAATAAGCTGGACCCTGTTACCATGAATACATAAGCTCAAGCAAGTTCATGAACTTATCCTTAGTTTCTTCAAGAGGTTCCAATGGGATGTTTTCAATTACAAGAAAAAAACAGACTACATTTTTTTGCATTAGTTTTTTTCCTAAGTAGTTCTTAAAGCGGGCATAAACAATGAACCAAACCACATCATATTCAAGAGAAAAACAAGGGGAATCTCTTAATTTTGCAGTTGGAGCAAGAAATTACTATTTCTTCTATATATCATTCATATCATATATATATATCATATATATCAGTATATATTACTAAGAATATTATTATTGTTTTATGCAACAACACAGGGACAAAGACTATGCAATGCCAGACCATCAGTCAGTATCATAGGAAAGGCATCATGCCTTCTACTTGATCACCTATGGAGCAAATGAACATGCATTGCTAAAAATAACTGAAGTCTTCCTGCATATTGAAACTTCATATTGATAGAAATTAAATTATTCAAAGTCCATGAACTATACTGCCTAGTTTTCCACTGCAGTTAAAATAAGGTTGTAAGGAGAACATGTTTCCTATTTTTATAATACAGTGATCATCTATGTGAAATATTTTAAATGTGTTATTTAAATTCATACATTCATACATATTTATTCCATAAAACAAAAGATTAAAAAGAATATTCCCCAAGGACTGAGTTTGCATTTGCCTGTATATTTTATGATCATTTTACACAGCAAAGAAATGGTTGAGTTTTTTAGGTATTTTTGAACATATGAAAAATGTGATTCTAAATAAAAAAAAAAAGGCCAAGAAAAAAAAATTAAAACAAAAGCACATGTAATAAACAGCTATTTCAACTCCTGAAAAGTGACCCAATTTCAAAGTGTAGATTTAGATTTCCTTTAATCCTATTTTCCATGTTTTTCTCAGACACATTTGCCCTTTCATTCAATCAATTAAGATAAATTAAACAAGTTTTCACGAATATGTACATTGGGACTTTGTACAGGAACTTCTTCACTTCTAGTTCTCTGTAGACTCAGAGAAAGAGATCTTTCAGCAGTAAAACACCAACTTGACCCATTCTCTCTCATGTTGCACAGTTATTTCTTGACAGCATAGCAGGCTGCTCCAACTGAAAGTTCAGTCACAAACATTTGTGTGCAATGTCATAAGTTGATCACAGAGCTGATGTGAATGAGAAAAAAATATAAAAAAAAAAACAAGACCACCCAAAAAATACAATCAATACCCCTCTCTCTTTATTTTCAGAAGAGTATATTTAAGTCACATCAGTTATGAAACACAGTTGATAACAAAGACAGATGGGAATGATCAGTGCTGGGAGGAAATCCCTTAAGCTGCCAAAAACTTCAGCTTTCTGAAACTATTCTCAGCATTCATGGAAAGTATTCAAGGCTCTCCAACTCTTAATCCCAGTTCATATTTCAACATGCACTCAATGCAGTGCAGCAACACCAGGTAAGAGAACAGACCCACAAGTGTGAAAGTTTATGAAGACCTTGCAGTATGTTTTAGAAATAGAATTGCACCTTTGATAAAAATACCCTGAGGCATAATACTATTATTATATTATATATATTATATTGACATTGCTCAAGCTAAAAAATTATCATTATAAACCTAACATTGTCAAAATTATATTTCTGTTGATTTTGAATCTATCATCAAGTGATTTTGCTTTACACCATAAGTTTTCTTTACAGTAACTGCAAATGGAAAGGGGAAAGGAAAACCAACACACAGTGCTGTATTAGAACATCAGTGCTCCACACTACTGCTGTGACTGTAACTACTGCTAATTGTGAACCTGTAACTAGAGTAGTTTGCTCCTCGAGAGCAAGATGCCTCACCACTTCCAAATAAAGCATCTGCTCTGCATTATCCAAAGAGAACGATTTTTGCAATGAGTGGTAGTTCATTTTTCTCTCAGATAAGGTCACATTACCTAAACAAAGATACTAACTTTGTATCTAAATATAGATACTAACTAACTCCTCATTAAATAGGTCATGGGATGTTCAGGGGAAGGAATATCATTGTTTTGGTACAACTTCTTTTCCCCATTTGGGACACTCAAAAGTGCTTTAATCACTATCCTTGTATTGGCTGCTCATCTGGCATAGGTGACAGGGTGCATTGTCCCCAGTATCCTACAAAGACCACAACACACATCTCTATCACACAGAAATCTGCCTACAGACCACAAAAGCAAAATACTATCATTAAACCATTTTTGCAGTTATAATACTTTTCCTGAAGAAGCACAATTTGCTGTCTGAGGATTATAAATGAATTAAGGTATTTTCACCACAAAGAGTTAAAAAAGACCCTAAAAAATAAAAATCCTGAACAAACTATATGCGGCATAGTGTTTGAAAATATGACTGTAAATAATTAGCAAATAAATTATTTTAAGATAGAATATATTACAATTGCAACTGTTTGAAAGGATGCCATGTCAAAACAAGTAGCTGATAGAAAAATGCTGCTTTCAAGCCCTGTTCACTAGTGATTAATAATTTTAAGCATCTGTAATACAAAGTAACTAAGTAAATTCCACAATTAGTAGCTTCTAATATATTTTGATCATCTTACTTTCCTGTTTCTCCAGAAAAATTAACCTTTACAAGACAATAATGCACTTCTCAAACCTTAATTTGTCCATATCCCTATTTTAGCTTTTCATTACTATATAAACTGCTGGAAGAAACAAATAGTTAAACAACTTGGGATTTTTACTACATATAGCATTAAATAGCATTAGAGATAATATTGAATTGCACACACAGAGAAAGAGCTTTTTCTAAAACTCACTGCATTCAATGATAAGTCTCTGTAACTTGAATAAAGTATACTAACACTGCTCATTTTTGCCATGATAACAAACAACAGTCATTCCTTTCATTCTGCCACAAGCATTATCAAATACCACACAGAATAAATATCTTACTGAGCATAAAATCTTCTTTGACTACAAGGCAAAACAAAAAAATAATTCAAAATATTTTACCATAGCGACTTAAAGCAGACAGAAATAATAATTTTTACTTCTTTGATGACTTTATAAAGATTTCCACAAGATGGTGCTGTAGTCCTATTTTAAGACATGACTTGATCTAACATTTGGAAGAAAACTTCATTTCATTTCATTGTTAGAATAATGAACAGTAATTTGCAAGGCCTATTTTCAATTAAGGGGCATAACACATTCCTACTATGTAATTTTCCAATCTTTTTAAGTTCTTTTATTTTTGAACAAATGAAAAAGTAAGTCAAATCACAGAAATAAAAAAAACCCAGAACTAGTTTATATAAAATAACAGATAGCCGTAAGCTCTTCTGTTTCTATGTAAAATAAAATCGATTTAAATTCCATTCCATATGGCTATAGAAAAAAATCATAATTACTGATAAAACAGAAATCATTTTTTACAGCATGTCAAACAGCTGCTTTTGCCTTCATCTAAAAACTCTGCCTCCAAAAAAATTCCAACTGGTTTGTAATACTAAACTCCAAATATTCTTTAAAGTGAAGTATTAAAACACAAAGGAACCTTGATATGATAGGCTACCAGTTTACAAAGAGTAACAAACAAAACTAATCAAGCCTCACACATCTTTGGTTTGATCATATGTTTATGGAAGTCTTACATCTACTTCTGTCTCTAAACAGAAATCTTAATATGGCTTCAAGTAATGAAAATGGTGTTTCTTTGTATACTGACTGGTCTCCATCTGTGCTGCTGGTCTTAAAATGTGTTGGGTAAGAGCACTAAAACACTCAACACATCTCTTGCAGTTAAAGTCTGTGGACTTACTTGCACATTTTAGTGCTTAGGATCAAACTGAACCTCACTTTGTCAGTGTTAATGGAAGCCATAAAGTGTTGGTACTCTCCAGCTCAGCGTGAAAACTTATATTTCAAAATAAAACAACAGCAAAAAAGGTACATATTTGTAACTGTGTATGTAAGTTTTTTTATTGAGACTTATTCAACAGTACAGATGGTAAGATGGTATGTAAGAATGCCTCTTGGGTGTAATACTCAAGTTCCAGCTGGAATGTTTCCAACAGGATGTAAACCACGGTCCTCAAGCCCACACTTTAAAAAACATATTACTTAGCACACTGCTAACAAATGTCAACACAAGAATACACTGCTGTAATGACTTCAATTTACAAAAGTGCAACAAGGGGGGAAGAAGCTGTTTGAACAGTCTTTAAAACCAAAAATTGTGGTCCTGAGGAGGGAAATCAATACACAGATATATGAGTAAAATATTTATTCAAAGCCATAAAAGCACTGGTGATCATTACAAATTCGATATATTAAAAATTTAATGCTGTACAAACATACATATTATTTCTGATATCCGTAAGTCTGCAGAGACCAGGTCTGAAGACTTTTGCTTTCAGGTACTCCCAGAGGTGGGCTTGGTGTTTTGAACAAGTTGAAGGTTTCTTCAATTCTGAAAATAAATTTTGGCACAAAATAACTGACTGACTTGCTTTTAATGTCCTAATTATCCAAAATTCTAACAAGCAGCAAGACCCCATTAAGTTTTCTCTCATCCTGTTCTTTTCCTCTGCAAATGGTTTCTATTTTAAATGCCTACCATATATCAATAAACCTTAAGTACACAAAAAAAGAAGTTACCCAAACAATAAAATTAAAATCACAGAAAAGGCTAGAGCTTTTTATAGGTCACACACGTAAGAGAATAAAAATCAATTGCTAGAGAAACACTGTAGAGCAACACATTTCTCTTCAAGTATAGTAAAAATATAACAAAAAATTTTATTATAGATCACAGAATTAATATCAAATACATCTCAATACAGCTGTTATAATGCTAAGGCTGAAACTGATTTTACTTTTCCTTAAATAGTAAAACACAGTTAAAATAACAGTTACTTTTCAGGAAGAAAAGTTACAAGTACCAGGGAATTTCAACCAGGAAATAAATAATATTCGTATTTCTTATCAACTAAATTCTAAACACTCTTTAATCTTTAGTTAATACTATTAAGAGTGCTTTCCATTGCTTTTTAGAAATCAAAAGAGTGACATATCCCACAAATACAAAACTGTAAGTAGATTTACTATCCAGTAGAGCCATAAGGAAATGCCACACCTGATGTAGAGACCTTTGAGGTTTGGAACACATATGTACATTCTCTGTGTGCCTTAGTCCAGTACAACTCCCCCCTGGGAAATAAATTCCTGCTGCCCTTTCCTATTACTTACATTTTACTTATCTTTTCCATTCTTTGTCTTATTGTCTCCTACAATTTAAAAGCAACAAAGTTAGTGAACTCTTCAAAGCTGACATTCTTCAGATGGACTTTCAACTTAAATTCAGAGAAAATGTGACTTTAAGCACTGTTTACATATGAAAAGTATTTTTAAGAGACAGACCAAGATGTAGTTTAGCATAGTTTCCTTGTTTTTCTATCAGTATATACAACTAAAACCAATGCTTACTTGTTCTCTTGACCTCAAAGGAAATCAACTGAGCGTTCACCAGTTTTACTTACCTTTGAAATGTCTGTCAGATCATGAGAATTAATGGTCATGTCTTTGGGAGATTGGTCTGTGGATAACAGAGAACTGCATCCAGACGACTGAAGATGACTTTCTGGCATCTCTTCATTCCTCTCTGTATCTATAGAGAAATGCTCAGTTTTATGTCACCTTTGCCTTTTTGCTCTCTTTTGCAAGGTCAGCTATCAAATAACTTGATTTACCGTAGGTAATAACAGAAGAGAATGCATTGTTTAGAGAGGGAAAAGAAAAAGCTGCTATGAGAGTCCAAAACAGGTTTCTCATTTTTTTAAAAAACAAATGCAATATTACACTATGTGTAATATATATAAAATTAAAAAAGCAAATTCCAAAGATTACTAAGAAGATTATTTTCTCCTGATTAGATTAAAATCAAAGCTTATGAACATATGATTACAGTGCCAAACATTTAATAATAATTTCATATAGTTTATATTATTTTTATTGTAAACTGCTTGTTCAAACACGTCTTTAATTTGTAACCTGCTAAGTAACCTGCCTTATAAGTAGCAGAATTTTTTTCTTTTTTGTTTCAATTTGGAAGGCTGTGACATTCTTTGCAATTTTAGACTATTATTGTCAGGGAAAAGAGCTTAGTATCTTGAAAAAGACATGTTCCCATACCCATTTCTTAGTAATGTCACCATCTATACATCATACCTCTAGAACATACTTATCTACACTATTTTGTATCTAAAATTCATATTAAACTGCTTTTAAATACCTACAATTAAAAATTGTTTATTTGTTAGAGCTGTACTTGCTGAAGAGTGCCACAACCTAAAAGAGCCTGAAAGTATTCAAAGTATTAAACTCCCAGATAAAATAATTAATCCTGTCCCCGTTATTTTTACACTTAAAATTTCCTGAATTTTAGAAAAGTAGGAATAACACATTCAAAAGAATCTGGGGAGTGTGAAAATATAAAAATTCTCTTTCAAAAACCATCTGCCTGTTTACTTACTACAAAGTCCTCAAGTGTCAGTAACATACCACTAAACTTTTCAAAGGAACTGAACATATTACAAGCTTTCTATGTCCTATAAAATGGAGGACCCATTTCTGAGACTCCACGATAAAAACAAGCTTTGACATAATCAAGAACTTCCTTCCTAATTTCCATGGAAACTGGATCACTGAGACTCCCTTTTAATTACAGTTCAAGAGCCCAACACTGGACAAAAAAGCCTAATATGTGAGAATGGAAAACAGAATATCCTCCTTACCACTGGTGGTAGGAATAACAGCTGTCACAAGGGAAACAGGCCAAATCAAGTAAAGGAACAGAGGGAGCTAAGGGAGCTAATAGAGCTAAGGGCTAGAGAGCTGCCATTGAGTAAAACAGGAGAATTACTCATGGCCTGGGCACTGCTTTTAACTTCTTTCCCACTCAAGTCTGCTTCGTTTACTTCTTGTATGTTATCAAAATTAAACTAAGTTGGAAATGGAAGAAAAAGATTTTGTCTTTCTCTTCAAAACAAGAAAGTTTATCAAAAATGCCAGCTGGAGAGCTGCTAACTGCTTCAGAGATGAAATACAGAAAACATTCAGTAGTGAGTTGAAAACCAACAAAGATTATGAATCATGATTTGTCTGAGCCCCATTAAAAAGAAGTAAACAGCAACCTAAAAGATATTAATGGCAGCAAAAATAACTCCATTTGTGCTTAAGAACAGCGCACTTTTAAAACATGAGGATAACTGCTTAAAGTCCAGATGACAGTATTATTTTTCAAAGATTTAGCAACAGAAAGTTGATTAAATTTCCATCTTTGATGTTTTTAGTAGCTATTTGTAACTAGTATTACTATGTTATAGCAATTAAATCATCTAAAGAATAAGTTAGAAACATGAAATGATGAAGTTAACTTCTAACCTGCAGTATGGTTTTAAATTCAGAAGTCACTAAATTTCAGTTACCTACTTAAACTATTATTAAAGGTCAGCAAGAAGTATTTAGCATATTATGTTAATTAGAAGGAAAATTATTAATACTCACCAAGAGAAACTGGAATGCTACTAGAAGCACTTTCCTGATTTATACTGCTGGACTCTTTAGATAAGTCTCTCTGAAATACAAGTTTACTGCATTTTAGCCATATACCATGTTTAAATCATCTTCTGAGGGAACAAAAGTTTATTTAAGTACTAGGTATGTATGTATTCACTTGCTACAGATATGTTGGCACTGCAAAAATATCTTCACAGGACTAAAAAAATTCAACATTTCCATAAATGCACTTTATTAAAAAACTAGACTATTTAATGGGTCTTTTTTTTTAATATCAATATTGCCGTTCATAAAGAGGTCAAAACCAGGCCAAAATACAGTGCATATAACTTAGTTATATATAACTTAGTGATGAGTAGAATGGACAAGCAGAATGCTCTTAGCCTGTACTAATCATTTCATCTCAACATTGGTTGCCATTAGCTTAAAGTAAGTGTGCCTTCTCCTACCACTGGTTGATATTCAGAAATACAGTCCTTAGTTCTAAAAAAATAACCTATAGACATTTAAATTCATTCCACCTAAATGCTTAGAACTCAGAAGTCTATTTTAAGCTGGTTTTCCAGGCTACTAAATGAGAGAGGGCTCTCTTAAGAAGCATTGTCAGTTTAACTTAATCTAACTTGAAAAAGGTTGTTCATAAGCAAGCAAACAATAGCTTTTTTTAATACAATTCCCTAATTTCAAAATAAAAAAATGCAACATTCAAACAGTATTTAAACTTTTTTTACATAATGAGTTATCATTATGATTTGACATCTCAGCCTTTAAAATACGTCACTTTATATACTGGAGTAACTAACTACATCAGCTAACAGGGGAATACTGCACCCAAATAAACAAATGAAGGAGAAATAGTAGGTATTGTATGGGAAAGAGCTGGAAAAAAAACATAATAATGACTATCTTTTAAAAAAATACAAAAATCAAATTTGCACAGACTATGTCTGGTCAATTCCTTTCATTGAAATGGATTTGGTAGCTTTCAGACTTTCCCAGAGCTAACTGCACAGCTGCTGCTACTTTGGCAACAGCAGAAGACAGATCTTAGAGTGTTCCTGCTACGTTGGCTAGATGCCAAAAGTCCCTGAAAAGTGCAAGAGTAAGGAAGGAGTAATTCTGAATTGTTTCTGTATGTGTGAAGCAAGACTTGAATGCAATTTCATTAAACAAAAAAAGCAGCAATTCTGTGTCCCAAAGGATTATTTCTTAGCAGTTTTCAAATGTCTACTGCAAAACAGTTAGTCTTGAAGACTGTGTATACATATATAGATATAGCCTCATATATTTGTATATACAATGCCACACAGAAACTGTAGCTGAACTTGTTTCTGTAGGTGCATTCTTTCAGTAACATGCAGTACAGAAATATAATTAGCTCACTGGAAATTTCTGAGTGATATTTTTCAGAGTATTTTCCAAATACTATTCCAACCATATGAACAACTGCAATAAACACGTTACTGAAGCAGTAATAAACCAAATTTACATACACCAAAGAACAAGTCTATTCTGAAACAGGAGTGTTCCCATGTGCTACAGTAATTTCTTGAAAAGAATATTTTTGAAACGAGAGAAAAAGCTGTCTATGGCTGTTCACCTGAAGGCCTCTTGAGACTGCTGCCCAAAAAAAATCACTAGTGATATTATTTGGACATATGTCTACTGAATCATAAGAATCTGATTTCAGATGGTAAATCACTTGAATTTTTTTTTAAGTAATTGAAAATATCCATCCTTACTTACTGAGCTACAGCCATTAGAAATAACCTGGTGATCAGTCTGAACACCTGTCCATTTCAAGACTTTGCATAACCACCACATTTCCAAGGCACACAGTAAACCATGTCTTGTATACAAGTATTAGCAACATTTTCAAATTTGTGGGGTCAGCAACAGGCACAGAGCTCCTGGTTATGAATAAATTCAATAGTTTTACAACTGCAAAGAAAAATGCAACACAGATCAACTCTCTTCCAGAAAGCATCTGACAGTAGCTGAAGGATACATGTAATTCATGCGAGAATAAAGTTTTTTGATTACATGATTAATTTCAAAGTGATGCTATGGTTCACTGCAAAATATTTACATGTGTACATATATCAAATTACAAAATGTGCACACATGGACCTTTCAACACAAAAAATAACCCAGAGTCTTAATGCAACAAGAGGCTTTATTTGCTATGCCAAACGTAGCCTCATCACAACTGTAGTGCTTTTAAACATCCTAAAATGCAATGAACATCACTGACAAGAAATAGGAAGTGAAGGAAGGGAGTGGGAATAGGAGAAAAACCCCATTGATTAGGCTAGAAATTTCAAACACACATAAATTAAACATAGGACAAAAACAAGAAAACTTTTTGATTAACCCTGTACATTCCACTGTGCATTTTTGTCACTATCAGTTGTAGAGAATGTAAACTCCATGTTCAAAAATTTCCTTCTATAACTTCAGTAGTAAATAAAATTACACTGCATCATTATTAATGAGAACAGATGGAGAGCTTTGGTTCATAGAGTATGAGAGAATAGAATTTAACAGTTAAGAAAAAAAATACCATCAACTTCATAAACAGCACTTGCATTCAGATCATGACTTTAAAGCCAGTGAAAAAAAAACATCACGAGGCAGGAAGCGCATAAACAGACCAGTAAGATTGTGTTTGAGCAATTTTTGTTATAGAATTAAAAGAGAAGTTAACACACCTTTTTGGATTGTAACAACAGTCCTGTTTCAAGAAGCAAAACTCGATTCAGTAAGTTATTCCAGTCCTTCTCATCTATGATCACCTTTCCTTGCAGTTTCTCTTCTAAAACTTGTAGCTTATCTTCCATCCAATCTAGCTTATGAAGCTTTTCCTGGAAATCTGCAAGCTGATTCTTTAAAAATTCAATTTGTGAATTTTCTTCTATGACCTGAAAATATTGATAAGAACATGTCCTCTGACTTCAAAAGAGAAACAATTCATCATTTGATCAAACAAATTAAGTGCAATCTTCAAGTTCAGTAACCACATCCTGCTCCATTAGAAAATTATTTTTCACCCAGAATTACCAAAATATGCCTACTCAGGGAATTCAGCTTTTAAAAGAAGCTGCTGATAGAACTGTGTGTTGAAAGAGATAGGAAAAGTCAGTTAAATTGTACTTTTTCAATTTTTTTAATACATTTATTAAATAACAGCTGCATGCTCCTGAGGTATAACTAAAATGTAAAAATCTTTATCCCCTTAGAAAAATCCTGTTTTTAAAAAAAAAGACAACATCTTAAAATAGAAGTTCTTACTTGTTCACATTTAACTTCCACAATATCATTATCTAGGCACAATTCTTCCTCATTCTCTCCCTGTGCTGGAAGGGGTAGTGGATGAAGGTCACCACTAACTTCATTTCCTGAGTGCCGTTCAACCAGAGGCTTCTTTTGAGGCTTCTTTTTTGTTAAAAAACAAACAAACAAACAAACAAAAAACCCTGGTGTTATTTGTTACAAGAAATTTCAATTCATTAGCCAAGTAATAACATGTAAGACCTATTATTTCAATATTTATTTAAATCTAACTATCCTACAAAATTTACAGAAAGCAATAGCAGGCAGCTTAAATTTTAGAAAACCATGCAGTCTGGAAGGAACTGTAAAACAAATATGCCCACACTTTACCATATATACTGTGGTACCTTGTTTCCTTTCCATAAACAGTAAGGAAGACCTGAATGTCTTCCCTCAATGTAAAGGTTGTTAGATGTCTAAGTGTGGACTGGAAAATATGTTATTACATACAGTGAAATTCCTATGTATAGACAGTTCCAACATCAAAACCGTGACTAAAACATTAGGAACAAAAAAGGTTTAACTAGGAAGATTAGAATTCTTCCTTTTTCTTGACAACTGTCAGCAAAATAGCCCCATGAGCTACATATCAGTTTCCTTTAAAGGCTCTCTTAGAGAAAACAGAGAAATTTTGCAATTCTTTCTAGGTGGATTAAATCCTATGACACTAGCACAAAACAAAATAAAATACTTCATAATTAAGAATGCACAATTACTAGTTCTGTGCAACATCTTAACACATACAGATTCTTCAATGTTTTAGTTAAGCTGAAACTCTCCTTTGCTAGGGAATTCTTAAAACACATGTATCTATCCCCATTCAGTGATACTATCAAACAACTAGAAGAGGCAGAGAAACCATTCCAAATACTTTCTTTGGGAAGCTTGCCTTGATAAAAGCAATATTTTTTTTATAAGTAGAAATCACCAACTATTAACAAGCAGTCATAGTCCTAAAAGTTTTCTACAATTTTATTTTGCACCCTTTTGGCAGAAAATATTAGGAAAGCTGCCTCCTTCACATGTCAAGAGTGGCATAATGTATAATAATTTTTACTTAATGCATAATCATTTTACTTTTGTAAAACCAAAGCCCAGAGGAATGCTCCATTACGGAAACTTGCTGAACAGACTCAGACAAAAGACCAAACAGTGTTTTGAAAGGTGAGCTGAAAACAAACATGTGTTAGGCCAAGCACACTTCACTCTTCAAGCATGATACAGCTTCCTTGTCCCATTCTATCTTTTTCCATTGGTCTCCCTAACACTCTGTATAATTCAAATATAGCACAAATAACAGCACTAGGTCATTACCACCAAGACTTTGAGATCTACAAAAGTACTCAGTAAAACAGAGAGGCAACATCCACTGTATTTCAGCTATTACTTAAACTAACCACACTTTGGGGAAAAACAAACATACACCAGCCCACCTCAAAACTGATTTGATTAAGTATTAAAACCTAAATGAAAGTAAAAATTTCAGCAAGAGCCTGACTTGCTACAAATGAGATTAACCTTTAGATATAAAACATAAAAATTACTTTCATACCTGTTTGGAATTCAGAGCACTGCCACTAGGATCAGCAAGACCTTTATCACAATTTGGCCATACTTCAAATTTAAAAGGTCTGATTTTTTTCCTCGTTTGGGATTTAACCTCCAAAGTGAACAGAAGAAAATAACACAGGCAAATTTTTAGGATTCCACACCCCACTTTCTAACACCCTCACTGACAGTCAAGAATATTTCACGGTGCACACACACACACAAACACATTTAAACCTCTGTAGTACAACAGTGTCTAAAAAAAATTAAATATGACCAGAATTTATAGATAACACAGATCCAGAAGTGAATGCCATACTTTTACACTCATTAATGCCTATGCTAGGTTGCATCAAAGCTGTTTATAAATAGAAAATACAACTTGCACCAGAGTTTAAAGTAAAATAAGTACAAAAAATGTAGTCATGTCTTCAAAACTGACAAATTAAATATACAGAAGTCCTGAAGACTTGCTTAAAACTCAAAGGAAACAAAATCCTATAAAATATAAAGACTGGAAATTCCTTTCATTAACACAGATTGATACACAACACACACTGAAAAAAGAAGAAAAGCCATTACAAATATTGTTACTGAAAATAATCAGATTTTTGAAGCAATGCAAGTGTCATGTTTAAATTGTTACAGAAATTCAACATATGAGATGATTTTGCTTTGCCTTTAAAGTTATCTGAAACGTTCATTGATTCACATGTTCACTGTATCAAGAACTGTAAAAGAAAATACATCACTTACTGTAAGGACATCAATTAAATTTATCTTCATTCTAATTTTTTTATGCTACAAAATATTGGCACCTTCATGTCTTGAATGAAAGCATTCAAGCATCTTACAACGGAACTTCATACTACCTTTTCATTATTTGGTCCATAAGCAATGCTGCATCTTCAAACAGAAGCTGAAGACCAGCTTATCTGCAGCATCAAACATGTCAAAAGAAACTTAAAATAAAGGTAACCATTTGAACAGTACCTTACTAGAGTTACTCAACTCCTTATGTTTCTTCACCACACAATTGATAATGTCACAAACGATTTGCATTTTCCTTTCCGCAAAGCCAAACTGAAGAAACTGCTCTTTTGTTAAAATTGGTTTATACTGAAATTGATCACGAAGGAACTGCAACAAAACAAGAGTTTACTTCACTTTCAAAATCACCTCACAATTTGCTGTAGAAATAGCATGCCCATATACTTATTTTACTAGAAACTTTTTTTCCATTCTGTACTTCAGCAGTTAAGCCTTTTCTCATTTGATTATTTTTTATATATAAAAATATATATATACAGCTATTTCATTTAACTAGATTTTAAACATACTTCCTCTTTCATTCACATCACTCTTGTAAACTTCAACTCAGTCTTAAGATTCAAGAAATAAACTACTATAGAAATTAATACTAAAAAACTTAAACTAAGAGCTTTTAAAGTGAATGTACAATAAAAAGTTGTATTAATCTCACCAAATGTATCAGAGGGCTACATAAGACTCCCACAGAACCCTATAAAGCAGCCTCTCAGATGGAAAACTAGTCTGAATAAGCCACTGTTTCTTAATTCATCAATCCACCTCTCATAAAAATGTGCTTTTGTATATTTTAAGGATAGTTCAGAGTTATTTTCAATCAGTTAAGAATTTGACTCTGACTTATAAAAGGTTAAGTATTCGACTTTATGTATTAAAAATGGCATAGTGTTTCAAAATAGCTGTATGTATTAACTGTGCTTACATGCTAATTTTTTGAGTTTCTTGTGATTTTTTTGATGCTTAAGATTTTTTTTTGCCAAGGTCACTTCTATAAATCTTATTGCCCAATAGACATTTCTGTGTTCTTCAAAATTAACATCTAACAATATTACTGTTCCTGAAAAATGTCTCAAAATTGAGATTTGGCTACCACCACCCACCCTTATTTTCATTAAAATCTAAAAACTTTCACACAGTGACTTACTACTCATCTTAAATCCTAAAATTCATGTTCATTGCCAAAACCTTTCACTTTCTAGTAAAGCTCATAGTAAATGTTTAATTTTTATGAAATTCTACTCAAACCTGTGTGTCTTTTGCAAAGAACAAGAGATACCTTATAAATGGCTTCAATAAAACGCAAGTCACTCTTGGCTGTCAGTTCCACATCACACTTTACCAAAAGCTCTGCTATGCACGTTGAAAAAGATGTAAAACAATAGCTGATGATAGGTAAAAATGCAGCTGGATCACCCTTTATTAACCTATTAAGAAACAGAAGTATTTTATACAGCAGAAAGTAACAAAAGCCTTTCATTACATGAATGCAAACATTTAACTTGAAAGGAATAAATACAGCCAGCATTTGAATTTGTTATATTCAAATATATTTAATTTTAAGGTTTTTTTTGTCCAGGCTTCTCTCATTCAACCATCTTTGCTGCTATCAGTAAAATGCTCAAAAAAATGCTTTTGTGTTCTTCACATAATCTAAATATTGTCAAGTCTAAAGCCCACCAGCATTTCCAGTTCAACATTCACTTTTTTTTTTGTTTCTAATCTTTACAGGATTAAGTTTCCTGAAGGAAGTTTTGCAAGCACTTCCGAAGAAATCAGAAAGGTGAGACAAACCAAAACAAAGACAAGAGCAGCAGAAGATGAGCAAGACAGTAATACAGCTCAGAATTGCTCAGAAGAACAAAACTTCATACTTCTATATTCCAGTTCACATAGACCACACCCCAACTTCCCATAACTATGTTCTGCTCACTTCTCACTGGGTGAAATGCTACTTATACATATCTTGTTTACACATCACGTTGTCATCACGCATTAGCATAAGTTTTCACACTGCCACTTACACTGTATAATCCACATCCCTTGGATAATTTAACAAGCGAAGTCCTTGTTCTATTTTTCTTAAACTTCCATTTAGGTCTCCTGTTGCCATTATTCCAAATGTTATTCTTCTTTCAGATTATGAAATAAAAGTAAAAAAGTACATCTGTTAAAAAAATTATGTAAAAAAAAAAAATACAAAATGCAATAATCACTTAAATTCAATTTTCTGCTAGAAGCTGGGAGATAATTACCTGCCACTATCTTTACTAAATTTCTTTTCTTGCTATGAAACAAGTATTTTGAAGCCTACCAATCCAAGCAGTGAAGAGGCATGGTCACACAGCCTATGAATGAAGCGATGGTCTCAAGAGACAGTTAAAGCTTGCATTTACAGTGGGCTGGATTTGCTGTGGGTGTTTTTCTTCCTGTGCTTCTATGGTGTTTAATCAGCACTCCTCAAGATTAAGCTCTTCCCATGTGTTCTGCCCTTGTTAAGAGAATTTTCTTCCTACTTAATCATCAGGTTCCTTTAATTTAATCATTAGATTCTGTGTTATTAGTTGCACTAAACAGAAGTATAAAATACTTACTGTTGGAAGAATTTAATCAGTTATTTGGAAATTGAGGCAGCTTTTCTTCCTGCATTATGCTACACTAATCCATTCTATGGTTTTGCAAATTTAACTAGCTATTAAGACAAATCTCAAAGAATCTGACATAAAACCGAAGCTCTAATCTGCAATGCAAATACTCACAGAAGCCACTCTCGCCATATTTTGACTAAACATATAGGCTCTTTCCCAAAAGTATCAACAATCCTTTCTTTTTACACTAGACGTCTGGATGGAAAAACTGGTAACTACTGTCACTACAAAATAGCTTAAGAAATCATAAAAGTAAGAGTCAAGTTGGAAGCAAATCTTGGGAAGGCTAACCCAGTAAAACAGGTTTTGTCTGTAGAAATTCATAACAGAAGTTATGGAGCGTTGGCTATCAAGAATAAAATCGAGTATGACAAAGTTTCAAGATACAATAATATAGACATTTGAGCAAGTGGCTCAAAGAACAACTCTCAAAACTGTGTATGATAGTCAAAGGACCAGCGTTAACAACTAAACAAAAATACCAAAACAAAGATAAACTAAAGAAACCATCCCATGCAAGTTACTAAGCATGCTCACACTGTAAACATTGTCTTTGAAATGCCCAACAACTAGATTTTCCATTTCTTCTAATTGGATCTACAGTCTCCTGTTGCACAGGGCGGGGAGCTGGGGGAAATCGCACGTCACCAACAAAGTAAGGGACCTCGCCGTCCTGCCAGCTGCGGCTCCCTTGCCGCAGAGGCCACTCGCACACCAGCGAGCGGCACAAGGGACTGCGCGTCCTAGCCTGGTTGCCCTGGGCACCAGCGGGAAAAAAGCGTGTCCCAGCCAGGAGAAGCAAGGCGGGCTGCAGGCCCGGAACCAGAGCGCTGCGGCAAACTCGCAAGGGTGGGGCCCGGCTCCCCACCCGCTTTTCCTCGCCCCTACAACAGCCGGAGACCGGGCCCTCCCCAGGGCTCGCCGTCTCCAGGAGAGGGAGAGCCCCGGGCCGGGAGTCGGCCCGCACGGCGGGGACAGACCGCCGCCCCGAGAGCAATGCTGGCGCTCACCCGCGCGGCGGGACCGCCGCCGTTCCCTCGGGAGCGCGGCGGGCTCAGACCAAATCTGCCGCCGCCGAGCCCGGCGNAGAGGGGAGGCCGTGCCCGGGCCGGGTCCCGGTGCCGCTCTGCGAGGGGAGGGGTGGCGCGGCTGCGAAGCTTCTCGGGACGCGGTGCGGCCTAAGGCAGCTGCGGCCCTCGGCTCCCTGGAGCGGCTCTGGGCCTGCGGGGCGGGCTGTGCCTCCAGCCGCCAGCCCGGTTGCCCCGAGTCGAGGTTGAAGAGCTTTCACGTTACGCGGAGGACCTGCAGGCCTCGCTTGCAGTGCAGCTTCTGTGAACGAAGCTTCAGCTTCCATAGGCTTCCGTCGAAGGAAGGAACGTTTTCCTGTTGGGAAAATTGTGCCTGCAAAGCAGCGGCTGTAGGGCTCAGTTAGGATGAAGTGGAGAATGTTTATATCTAGAGTGCATGTTGTTTTTTTATTTAATGAAGTAGAATCTAGAACTAATGCAGCATTAATATACATTACTTTTAGCGTCCTATCATGCTTGTTAACGCTGCAAAAGAATTTATTATGCAGTAGCAAAGTAACATGAGGAAGACACGATTAGAGTTTAAGTCAGACTTTGATAGATAGCAGACAGAGCTAGAGAAGATAAGCGATTTGTAAACAAGCTTGATATTATTTTTACTGCGGTAGTTACTACAGCCAAGCTATCAAGATGTTTCAATTACTACATAAAATTACATTATAAGTTTGAAAACATGTATTTGAGAGGCATACTGAATCTGCAGATTGGAAATATATGTTTCAAATAATTTAAAAATACAGATTTTGACGCCATTACTTAAAGGGCTTTATTAAATGGATTTGCTTATCTTTTATTATGATGGGCTCTGAAAGCATTCATCCTGGATTACTACAAAGCTGAAAGTAATTACATGATTGGGAAAATTGTGTGTCTTCTAACAAATGGCATATAAGCTGTTGAATAGCTGCACAAATAGCAGAGCTTGTGCATTTTCATCAGCTGGTTCTAGACTGGTTTGAATTCTATCTCATTTTGTTCCTTCTGTGAAATTTCTTCAGTTGGTCCTTAAAATAGCAAATATATATATATTTTATTTTTTTTTTTACATTATAGAAAGGCTTTTTATTATATTTTTGCAGTGATATTCTGTGCATAAGTATGTGAGTATGTTATTATCAAGGCTTTATGTAACGCAGCTAGGTAAGAAAGCTTGAGAAGATTCTTATTCTCTTGTTTCTGAGCACTCAAAATCCTTACTGTATTATCACTGAAGTTATTAAACTTTGTTTCAGTCACTGTGCTACCCAATACATTTTTGCTTCTCCCTATGTTTTATAGTACTTTATTGACTCTAAGTGAGTTTTTTTTAATTAAATTTTAAAGGAAATCTGAAGATTCCAAATATTCTGAAGCCTAAGGTTTCTTAACTTGCATGGGATATAGATAATATGCTTATTGTTAATTTTGTAGCTCTTCAAGCATGGAAACTTTTGAAAAAAATCTGTTTTGTTTTGGTTTTTTTTAATTTGCTTTGTTTTCAGTATTTGCCTCATGAAGACTGATTACCTGGTCAGCATAACTTTGACAGCACTCTCTTTCTGTATATTCTGATTGGTCCTAAAATTTTACTTATGTGCTTAGTCTGTCTTTCAAATGTTTACAAGTAGCTGTCAAGGTCTAATTTGAATTTTATGTCCAGCAGGCTCGCAGATGGGTCAGGGACTCTGGAGAATTGCTAGAAACCAGCAATTGCAACAGCAAGGATACAGTGGACAAGGTGATCTTACCAGGGACCATGGTAGGAGGATACCTGCTAACAATGTTTCCAATACAAGCCATCGCAAACAAGCCCAAGGCGGCATTGACATCTATCACCTGCTGAAGACAAGAAAATCTAAAGAACAAGAAGGATTCATTAACCTGGAAATGTTGCCTCCAGAGCTTAGTTTTACCATTTTGTCATACCTGAATGCAACTGATCTCTGTCTAGCATCATGTGTCTGGCAGGATCTTGCTAATGATGAGCTCCTCTGGCAAGGGTAAGCATGAAAAAAAGAAGTTTCACCTGAACATAGTAAAAAGTATTAGATTTTAAATTTGTCTCAGTAAGTGCTTTTTGTCTTCCTAACCTTAGCAAAGGTTTCCTAAGTTAAATGAGATTGATATAGAGGATACATATATCATTTCAAAACGTGTTATTCTGGATTTCTAATTAGTATGGGGGATTACTGGAGATCACTACATACACAAGTGTGCTTGGCACAAGTATACCTGGGTATTATCATACACTTGCTGTTTGAGATAGCATGGGGTAAAAACTGGGACTTGTCTTCACTTTTTGTATTAGTTCAAAGTATCTTAGGTGTTTGTATCATTACTTCTCTGAAATTCAAATAGTTGTCTAGCTTAAGCAAGCAAACCTGTTCAGCCAAATTTCCAAATCAAGAGGTGATGAGAACTCATCTACTACACTTGGTAGCAACTTAGGTGTATCTTTTTTGGAAGATGGCTATGGAGGGAGGAAATTAAAAGTCATTTTTCTCAGTTGAAATTTCTTCAGCCTAACACTTAAAACATGTTTATGTATAACATATGCACAATTTATATGTCTGGAAAATAAATAAAGGAACATTCTTTCAGACAAAATAGTGTAATCAAAATGTAATTAACATATTCTTTGGTATTTTTGTTTTACAGCACTAGGAAAGACTGATGAAATCATACTTATCTCTAGAGTAGATGGTCAGCAGAACTTCTTTCACAACATTTTCTTCTCCTTTAAGAGACAGTATTACTAGTGTAACAGTAGGGTTGCTGATCAGGTTGTTTATTTTCCTTTCATAATGCTCTACAGCTCTTCTCTTCATCTACTTCCTTGCCCTGCTGCATTTGAATTAAGCAGCTTCCCTTCCAATCATGCTTTTGAACCTAGCAAAAGGATAATGCAGCATGACTTCTTAGTTACAATTGTTCTGCAGCTGGGGACTGTTATATTGACAGGAAACAAATTCTAGTGAAGGATACCAGTAAGCTTCTAAGTGTATCAATATGCATTGTACTGTGCTTGGTTCTTGGTGTCAAACCCACCCTAAATACAAATAAATTCCCTAGACCAAAGCTGGAAGATACTAGAGATTCTTAATTGCATGCAGTATATATTCTTAGCATGTGGGGTGGGAATGCGTATTTTCCTTGAAGTTCATTCTGGAAAACCGTTCAGTCATGTTTCGTCAAATCTTTCCAAATAATACTCACATTCATAACCACATTTCTTTTGGTAGTGAAAATGTGTCCTGATTTATAAATAAATATCTTTATTCTGTGATAAATAAAAATCTGTTTGCATAATCTCTGTAAAAATCTTCGCTATTCCACACATGTAAGAGTGTGTTTAAGGTTTGGCAAGTACTGTTGTTGCAGTTCCAGACTCAGTCCAAATAAGACCCAGGTTCCAGAATAAAAAACAGAATCTTTGCCATGTCTCCAGTGACTACTGGCTGGGTCCTAAACATTGTTCCTAATTAGTAACAGGGCAGGTGTGTTGAAGCAGAACTACCAGTTCAATAAGGAATCTATAGTGTGTAGAAAGGGAATTGCAGATGGTAACATTAAAGGAACTGAGATGAGGGACAGAAACTGATGAAACTGAGATATGGAGTCAGGATGGAATAAAAGAGAAAGAAGCTGTAAAGTTATATTAGAGAAGGATGGGGCTGGATCTAGTCATTAGGACTGGTCAAGAGGACTGTCCACTTAGGACAAGAGGAAGAAGAGTTGGGTGAAGAAGGGCAGATGGGGAAAGTGCTGAATTAATGGCATAATTTTGTGCAGATATGGTGTCCAATTCACTGCACAACTGGGGCACAAGAAAAGAAACAAAATGTTTTAATCCATCATAGTACCACAGGAGAACAACTTGTCTCCCATGTCGAGGTTCTAGGAGTGCCAGAGGTCTCTGCTGTGTGGTTGTTATTATGATACCACCTACTGCGATATGTTTTGAGGTTGCACTCAAATACACCAAAAACCTCTATGAGAAGAAAACATTAATCATATAATTGAAGGTTTTAGGAAAAAAGTGGTAAATCTTTAATAACTGTTACAGCAACCTACTTCTAACTTTTTCTATAGTTTGAGTACTTAGCTTTGCAGTATTGATTACATTTTGCTTCTGTAAAATACATGAAATTCAGAAAGGAATTTTTATAATAGATTAATTCTATTTTCATAGGTTGTGCAAATCCACTTGGGGTCACTGTTCTATATACAATAAGAATCCGCCTCTAGGATTTTCTTTTAGAAAATTGTATATGCAGCTAGATGAGGGCAGTCTCACCTTTAATGCCAACCCTGATGAGGTAAGTGAACTGTTGCTGACAGTAATAAACAGTTACAATAATTGTGATTGGTTTTTTATAATTATAGCCAATAAAAACAAAGTTTTAATAGGTGTTTGTTTTACCGTAGGGATGGTTAATATTGAGCTACAGCCATACGCTGGTCTTTTTTGGATATTGTACCTGTGTACGTCATTTACATGACTTGCCTGTTAAGTGCTCTGTACACTTCTGTGGATGCCAGGAATTCATAACATTAAGAACAAGGCCTAAGATATCCTAACTAAAGAGACAGTGGTGAACTGTAAGAGCATAAAAATGAGCTTACATAAATAAAAATGTTAAAATGCAAAGTATGAGTTTGGTTCCACTTTAGGCAAAACAGGATGAGGTATAAAGTCTGATCACTTCTATGACAAACACATTTTCTTGTAGGGGATTTTTACCTAGTTCTACTATGAAGGGGCAAATCTTGAAATATGAAAAAGATCCACTGCTGAACGATCCTGAAGATGTTTGATTTAATTTCTGTGGGTGTTTGTTGTGCATAATTTTTCTTTATAGAACATAAATTTATCTTAAAAAAAATATTTCTTGTCAAACTGAAAGGTTTCCATCTATAAGTTCATGTAACTAACTGGAAAAGTCAGTTTCTGCTTTCAGTCTGTCACGTTTCAAAGAAAAAAACAGTTTGAGAGTAGACAGCTTTTGCCTGGGAGATAGACAGTTAATGCCCAAGTGACAGAGAAAGTCTTTTGTGTATAAAACCAGGCTCCTGCTTCATGTTTCCTAGGAAAAGAGTGTACACAGTACCGAACAAAAATGCTGTTAACTTCCTGCATATAGTTACACATACACATGGAAGTGGTAATTGAATAAATCCAAAGTAGAAAAAGGATTGAGATATGAAACAAAACACTTCTAGAAGCAAGTTTCACTCTGCTGATATGATACAGAAAGTGTGAACTTCTGTTTTTACCATGGGGTAAAATAAATAAAGCAGTTCTATGAATCACTATAAGAAAGTGATTTTGTTTAAGTTCTTGCTTTAGGTCATATTCTGCTTGATTAAGAGACCATTACTTTTATCAGTCATGAACAGATTATTTTGTAATTTCTCTGTTAAAACTCTGCCTTGAACTCTGATACACTGCATGAAGCCATCAGCACCTGGCCACTTGAGTGACTAATACTGTTTTTGTGCAGAATTTTCATAAATGTAGTAATAAATGTAAAAGTTTTTAAATGAGATGCAATATTTAGGTAACTTATATATTTTCAGTATTAAGTATATTGCTAGCAGTATTGTCTGTCCAATTTTTTCTTTGTATTTGAATTTGTTTTAACATAATTTTTCACTTAACTATCAGTTTTTAATGTGCCATTATATTCCAACCTTATTTAAAGTATTCTTGGTATGTTTAAAGCATTTGGAGATTTCAGAAAAGGCACTTAATAGAAGATTCATTATTTTTAAAGGAAATTAAAATCTGCAAATTAGAGCTAATTTACAGCATACTTAAATTAGGTACTAACTTTATTATGCTACTCTTTCTTCTTCATTATGGTTATATTTTACAATAGAAATACAAACACTCTGCTTCAATGAGAGATGAGAACCTCAGGGTATCTCCTAAGGGCTCTGTTCCTCTCTCCCTGTGGAGCGCCATAGCCTGGTAGGAATCATTCAGGGCCTGAGTTTCAGGAGAATTCACAAATACTCTTGCTTTTACTGTTTACAACTGTGATATTGGCAGAGTAATTATTATAAGGACACAGTGACTGAAACATATGATATGACATTCCACTATTACAAATTGCATCTCCGAATTTTCTGCCAAACTCTGCTTTACATTTGATAACAGACCTGATCAAATTACTATAAAAATAGGAATACTTACAGCCACAGGAGCAAGATTCTCCAAAGGACACCGCCCATGTCATGAAAATGGGTAACCAGGCTCCACAGCAACAGCTCCAGAGCTAGCGGTGGCTCACGGGGTAGGGAAGAGCATCTACACACTTTGTGGTAGGATTCTCTGGTTAGCCATTGTTGTGTGCATGGTGTTGTGATATCTGCTGTAATTTAACGTGTTGATTTGTGTGCATGAGCTTGCATAATTCATAGCAGGTGCTCACATTCTGCTAAAAGGATGTGCCTAAACACATGACATGGAATTTGAAAAAAAAAAACTCCAGTGCATGTTTGGGTTGGATTTTTTGGTTTGGTTTTTTTTTTTCCTTTATTTATTTTTTCTTTTTCTTTCCTATTTTTTTTTTTAATTTGATTGGTTGGTTTTCTTGGATTTTTTTTCATATGGCACTACCATTTTAGCCAAGATTTTGGAACCTGGTTTTTCTTCTCTCTTTAGAGAGAGGGGTGCCTTATTGTTAGCATTAGCACTTGAATACAAATATCATGTTGTTTAATTTGCCTACCTGGTTTCTGCTGTATTTTATTTTAAAGATTGTATGGTATATATGAAATGTTTCTCATGCAGCACGCGTTTCATCTCGTGTGCTTATGACTCAGAATTTGTAGGCAACCAGAAGTATTTCCCATTGTTTTGCATCCAGTTTCTAACTTTCTACAAAATATTTTTTGAAGTTTATTACCTGGATCAATGCTATGTAGCTAAAATTGAAACTGAAGGTACAAACAATCTTTTGGTCAGAAAAGAAGGTCTGGGTTTTTTTGTTTCATCCTTACTGGTTCTAACCGATCTATTTAATAGTATTTATTTTTATGGACCTTCTGGAATCTAGTGTACCAAAACTGTCTTCAATGAAGTCAGGATTTCCTTTACATAGCATAATAATGAAGTACAGTAAGACAGTCCTTATACTGAGCCTGTCTTTTCACTCTTCTGATTGTCTTATTCTACAAGCTGCCCTTAGTTTTTGACAGGGAGGCCAGCTTTTTCTGACCTTTTCCTGATAATAAATTGTTAGCCACTTGTATAAAGCTACCCTACCTGACTTAATTTAATTATAGACAGTCTGTAGATGATGGAATGCTTACTGTGCTGTATTTCTAAGCAAAGTTTTTTGAAATTTATCCCATTTCATAGTGATCTAAGCACACTGATTTGATTGATCAGTCTGAAGAATATTATGTGTATGTTGTAGAGGAAATTCTTTTGTGTGATTCATCAAAAAGTTGGAAAGGAACATTGAGCTGAAACCTTTTGATAATTTTACATTAAAACCAGAGTGGTTTTATCTTGTAAATTATTCATTATGGATTCTGTGTAAAATGAAAAATATTTCCACATTCTATTTGTGATTTCTCCCATCATAAGTTTGTATCACTGAGACTGTATTTTAGACTGACAGTGAAAGAGACTCTGAAATGTATGTTACATAGTGTCCACATTTGTCACCAAATGACTTGATACTTAGTAAAACAGTCATAAAAATTTGCATTTTATAATATCTCATCAATACTCTGCATTGTTCCAGAAGATGCACCATTAGATATATTAAGATAGTGTACTTCCCTAGAAAAAAGGGAACAATAATGCCATACACATCTAATTATTTACGAATAATGTTAGTGTTACCTAGAATCACCAAGAGAAATTGAGACCCTGCTATACTAGGTACTGATCTCAAAATTCCTGTGCCATTAACTTAGGATGTGTCTGGTTGTTTTGTATGCATGTCTGAACAAAGGTGTCAAAGGCAAGTACAAAAGTTTGAATATTAACTGCTGTACTGAAGTGCTCTGAAACTACACTTAGGAAAAAAGATAGTCAATGCAGAAATGGAACTAACAGTGAAAATGAAAAGTTTTCCATTTTAGATATCCTGTATGGATATAAACAAATCCAAAGGCTATTTGAAACAGGTATAAAACAAGCAAGGAGCATCAGTGATGTAACAGAACAGGCTGATGAAACAAGCATTGTGTGCCTGGAAAAAATAAAGAAGCAACTGTAGAAAATAACATACAAAAATATAACAAATGGCTTTTGTTGTTACCATTAGTCTATACTTACAATTGTTATTTGCATATATAATTTGAATTAACACTTCCATACATTAATATTTTATTCCAAGCTGTCTGAAATTCAGAGGTAACAAAGAGCCACACAGAACAGGGTAGGCAAGTATTCTTAAGGCATCTTTCCTAATTCTCTAATGCAAAGAGCATTACAGTGCTCTGAATCAGAATTTTAAAACTACTGTATGTGCTCATTCCACAGTGTTTCTCAAGTGTTAAAAACACCTCTTCAGAGCTGGTAGATCAAGGCACAGAATAGCCTACCTGACTGCAGTCAAATATTTCCTAAGAGAATCAGCAGCTGACTGATAAATAATCTTAGCATAAGTTTTAATAGTGTGTAGGGCTACTTATTTCAGCTAGTATATATGCCACAAGCAGCCATTTTAGCTACCAGAAGTGATTTATTTGAAGCAAGGGTCCTGAGAGGTTTTCAAGGTAGTATTTACAGTGTTATGAAAAGCAATGACATGCTGTAAATCTTGTAAATAAATTTCATTTGCTGTGCCCAAAAATTTAAGAATTTAAAAGAGAAATCAGGCTTCTACTGTTGCAAACTGGTTTTGATAGCTTAGGATGAAATAAAAAGCAACTAAAAACAATGGCATGTGGTGAATTATATTTAATTTATAGCCTGTTTACTTGTGAAGGATTTGAGGAAAACGCATTCATAGGGACCTATATTGTCAAGGATTATGTGTGGTGGGGGAAAAAGTAATTAGAGCTAGAGAATAATAATGCAAAGACTTTGTAGCCTGTCAGATGGAGATCCTACATTGAGCTGGGAGCTAGTGCATGAGAAAGAAACTGCAGCATTTACTGTCACAGAGAAACAAACCCACTGTCTATCTTAAAGTGTTATTTTCATCCTGCCTCTTCTATACTATGCCAGGTGTTTTCTGGATATGTTGCACAAGTGTTTGTTAACTGCAGCAGGAGTGCTGTGCAAGACTTCCTCTTCAGGCCAGGCTTCAGTTTGTATTACCTTAAGCTAAGACTTCTTACTGAAGCAAACACATAAATCTCATTAACTCTGGATATATGTAAAGGAGATACTCTGCTGCTCATCTTACATAAATTGCCAAAATCCTTGTTATCTCCCATTTTTAATTTCTTATTTAGCTCTGGTTCAAGAAAGTACTTAACATTATGTTGTCCATCCATATTATGAACAAACTTAAATATGATCTAGTTTGAACTGAAATGCAAGCTGGTAGACCAATACATACTTCATTGTCATCCTGAATACAGGTTTTTCTTAAAATTAGGGCATAATGCTACTAGAATTTTTTTTGTTTTATCTATCTAAAAAACTTTATATTTTTATTTTAATAAACCACTATTTTAACAAAATAAATATATCTTGATTAACTGCTATATATTTTTCTAGAAAATTTATGAATTTTTCTATAAATAACTGAGCAAAAACTATGGACTGGTAAAAATTGCTAGTTAGTGCTACAGGTGTTTCTTGGCCTTTAAATTGTGTTCTTAAACATACATTCTAACTATTTTCCTGCTTGATGCAACTACAACTTTGCTTTACTAAGCCAGTTCACAAAATGTTCCAAACCTGCACTCCTTTATTTCTTTTTCACACAAAATTCAAGAGCACTGGGAACTTATACACTGAATGACAGGTTGTTCCTACATCTTTGTCGCTGTAATTTAAACTAAAAGGGCAGACTTACAAAATATTGTGAAGTTTGATATCAAAAGATATATGAAAAGATATTTCAGAAGTATTTTAAAGGTGATTTAGGTTGTGGCCTCAGTACATTATTCTGTGCAGAAATGCACTGTCCTTCTCATTTTACATTTCAACCTTTTGCTATAGTCAAGATACGTTGTACTTAAGTATTGTAACACTTCTTTCTAACAAAGGAGAATCGCTCCCTGCTCCTGCCAAACATAATCCGAAGAACTTGGTTAGTTATTCTCAGGTTTAGATTTTCGCTGTTGGAAAGTGTGAGCGTTTTTTTAAATCCATTAGTTGGGTTTTGATTTCTGATATTGTAAGGCACATAGTTTTATTTTTTGAGCTGTTTCAATGACTAGAGAGAATCCAGAATATCACTGAAATACTTGAAATTTATCATGTTTATTCTGTAAGAGATGTGTGTTTGGTCCAAGTGTAATACTCCAGAAATCATAATATGAATATAAATTATATGCAATTCTGTGTTTTTAAACTATTTTTATGTTAGGCATAGTGTTCTTATTTATGTTTATGCATATTTATATATGTTGATACTTACCTATGCTTTAAAATCAGCGTGCTTGTGTTTATTTGCATTAATACACATTTAAACAAATGCATTTAATGCATCTATTTGAATGTGATACATTGTATACATGTGAGAACATTACTGTTTCAATGATAGATGTTAAAGACTAAGCACATTATGGCTAAGATTTTCTTATTTGCAAAAATTACGAAATTACTAGTTGTGGTCCCTGCAATGTTTCAAATACTATTACAAAAGTATAAAAAGCAAAATACCGATATACACTGTAAAGAAATTATCAAAGAACCATCATGCTCATTATGGGGTTCATAATTTAAAATTTTCTACTATGACTGTATGTAAAATCTCAACCATAACAATAAATTGTTTCTTTGCATTTGATTTATACTTTTAGAGTGTATTCTGCATGTTGAAATGTGATTTAGAGAAGGAGGAATCATTCTGAAAAACAAACCAGTTAATTCGTAGGATTTCATTCCTACATTGTGAGATACAATACTTGTTCCTAAATACATTATGAGGATTAAACATATTTATATGTGCATGTATTTTATCTCAGGGAGTCAACTACTTTATGTCCAAAGGCATACTAGATGATTCACCGAAAGAAATAGCTAAGTTTATCTTTTGCACAAGAACACTGAATTGGAAGAAGCTGAGAATCTATCTTGATGAAAGGTAATTCAAACTTCTCTTAAAACCTTTTCTATTAATTTTCAATGTACAGCCCCATTTAACAATACTTTGAATGTAGAGGTAGGCCACTTCAAGGATGTAAAAAGGCAAGAAAATGCAGCTAGGTAATGTTTCTGCTAAATTTGAACAGTTACTCAGTTTGAATATTTATGTGACTGTAACACTTAATAAGAATGCTCAAAAATACCAACTATAAATAATAAATATTACATCCTCACAAAATCTTACATAGATATTTTGCTGCTTTTTTGACTTGATGGGTTTTTTTTCCCTTATGGGTGTTATTCAGAAAAAGTGAAAAGAAAAGAAAAAGGGATGATAGCTTTTTTAACTAATGTTGAATCATCTAATTACTTTGTTATCTGATTGGATTGGTTGATTGATTGGAGGTTGCACACACCTCAAGAGATGGAAGGGACTATCCTCTTGGAGACATCAGGAGCTGCAGAAGGGAGCACTCTCCCTGCTGTAGCATGCTGTTCTATACCCACAGTGCTTTCTCATGCCATCAGGTTGGGGTGGGGCAGTAGCATGAAGGAGGAGGAGAATAGTAACTGCACCTGAATAGGAAGAACAGAGAGCAAACAGAACTTCTAGCAGGAACCCTCTCCTGCTTCTCATCCTCTTCAGCCTGTACTACTAAAGGAATAAAAGGAGTCTGTAGTGTTATCACCACTGTCAGTCCTGTGCTGTAAAACTTGAGATTTATCAATTTTTAGACAATAACAAAAATACAATAACCATCTGACATGAGATTGCATTAGTGACTCCTACTGCCATTTATCTTCCATTCATAAACAGAGTATAATCAGGCACTAAAAATAAAAACTAATTTTTTAAATGTTGAAACTCACAAACAAGGTAAAAATCAGGTCAAAAAATATTCTTAGGTTCACTTCAAATTTGCCTCCAAATTTTTTTCAACTGTCTTTTGCACATCTGGCAATATAGATGTGGTCTGAACATTTCATTTGTGTATGTGTTCAGTGCAAAACACTTGAGAACAGCACACCCTGATGGACTTCATGAGCAAATTTGCCTAGCTGAAGCCTGATTTTAACAAGACACTCCTGCAACAGTTTCTACTTAGACATCAAAATGGGTGACATACTTGTATCTATTCTCTTTGCTGTCTTTTTTAATTTTTGTCAAATTTTTTTAAGTTTTGTCAAATTTTAAAGGAAGCAAAGCCTCTATGTAGACCTTGATTGAATGGACATAAAAACTTTGAGCTCTGATTCATGTATGTTTTTATAGTATTTGGCTACAAATAGGCAAAGAACACGTGTTCATATTATCTTTGTGCTGTTAGTGATAATTTTGCCTTTTAGCAAAATCAAAAGCTCATGTTATTCTAAAGCTTTAATTTTTATTTTAAAATCTACACATTTTCATATTTAAACAGTTAAAAGGAACTTTTCTAATAATACGGGTTTTTGTTCTGCCAGGAGAGATGTTTTGGATGACCTTGTGACGCTGCACAACTTCAGAAATCAGTTCTTGCCAAATGCACTGAGAGAGTTCTTCAGACACATTCACGCTCCTGAGGAGCGTGGGGAGTACCTTGAAACTCTCATAACAAAGTTCTCTCACAGATTCTGTGCTTGTAATCCTGACTTGATGAGAGAGCTTGGCCTTAGCCCTGGTAAGCAAAAATGAGCAGTGGATCAGTCTTTATACTTCTGGATTATGCTACTCTTTCTGATAGTTTTAAAATCACCACCTAAACACATATTTCTGAAAGTACAAAATGGTTCAGTATAGACTCATCATTCTACTTGGGTTGAAAAAAAACCAAAAGAAAACCAAATGTACAGATTCTCTTTTTAGCTGATGAGTTGGGTTTATTTCCACGTTATCTTTCTTCTATTTTTGTCTGTTCTTTGTGCTTTTTTCTTTTCTGAAGTTCCTCTTGCAGAATCCTACACACTTAATATTTTACCTTGTGAATAGTCTCACAGAAATGAAAGGGGGTAATGAGCCACATTCAAGTTAAAATGCATTTCTGATTGGTTGGGCAAGGCAGTTCTCAGCAGTGCAACTGCTTACATATTTAAAAGACAAGCTTTTGCAGGATGTTTGTTTTAGTTTACACAAACTTCAAGAATCTGTTTAAATGAAAATGTTTAAAGCCCTCAGTGGCTTTTGGATTCTGTAGAAATATTAAGAGATTTGTGAATTCTCATTTGTCAGTGTGCTGACATTATTACTTTTAAAGTTGCTATATTTAACTTTATTTCACTGGGATACCCTTCTGAATAGTTGTATGTATATGTGTGCGTATATATGTATATATAGATAAAAAAAATATGAGCCTAGATGATAAAACCGTAATGTTCTTGGGGAAAAATACTTTTAATGATTACAGGTTTTTTTAAAACCTTGTTTATTTGTTCTCTCTTGTCTAGATGCAGTTTATGTACTGTGTTACTCTTTGATTCTACTTTCGATTGATCTAACAAGCCCTCACGTGAAGAACAAAATGTCAAAGAGGGAATTCATCCGAAATACGCGAAGAGCTGCACAGAATATTAGTGAAGATTTTGTAGGGCACCTTTATGACAACATCTACCTTATTGGCCACGTGGCTGCCTAAAAGCACAATTTGCTAGCACTTAAAATTTGTAATTTTAAAAAACTACATCAATTCAAGATATTAATTATTTTGTAGAGATGGGGGTTATTTTAGTGCTGGTCATTCTAACCTCTGTATGCAATCAAAGTTTGTGTGTGTAAGTGTGTGTATGTGTAAACTACCTTTTCTATCTATTTACTGTGGGAACAGGAGAATTTTTTTTTTTTCATGATTTTTTTTTTAGCTCTGCACAAAACAATGCCATTAGTCTGACACAGCCATTTATGAATGTTAAACTGACATTACAGTCTAAGCTGAAAAAGTGGTGAATCTGTGCATTAGATCTGCTTGAAACTTTAATAAGCTCATTCTTTTTAGAATACCATGTAATGTGTATATATTTAACTAAAGAGATTTATAATCATAATTATTTTATTGTAAAGAATTTTAACTAAAATTTCTCCTTTTATCTCTTAAATTAGTGTTTGACTTTCGTTTGCATTCTTTTTACAATGCTGACTACCTCAGATACTTAAGTTAGAGGAACATTGGTCTGAACAATAAAGTTTATTCTAGGAGATAATAGAACACTTGTAAAATATCTAAGCTGGTATTTTATACTATATTTATTAACTTGAATCAGCATGTTGCCAATCTGCTATTCACTCAATTTTAAGGATTACAGGCTCTGTTTTAGATGAATCCTGATGCCATACAGGGGTAGCCAGGGCAAATCATGCAGTGTACAGAGAGGTTTACGTTATTTACATGCATAACTTCTTTTGCAGATACCAGTTTTTGAGAAACAGGGCAACTACAATCACCTATTCAGCGCAGTAAGCAAGAAAAAATCTGAACAGGGAAAGTGGTAGGAGTGAGTAACATGTTGCTGCTTTCAACTGGTTTCCTCGGTCGAGAAGTGTCAGTGATGGAAATGCCTTGGCAAATTTATACCAGATGACTTGTTGCTAAAGCTGTTAAAAACTGACGCTGCAAGATTAGAGCAGTGACTGTGCAGGATTGGAGAGCTGCTCTTCAGAGTCAGATACTGAATTACTTTCTAAATCTATCATGTAGCTAGATTTTAGACAGCTCTAAATTTAAGGAAATACTTCAAAAATTAGTTGTGTCTTGACATTTTCTGAAGTGTGGAGATTAGCAATAGAACTGCTGTTCCGTGTGCAGGAATTGAATGAGGATTTGCCTAGTTTTTGTTCAGACAACTCACGGAGCAGTGCTTCTCTTAAGTTGACATAAATGTAGTTGAAGAGCTGTTCCTGATTATGTATGTTTACATAATATTCAGCTGTCAGTAGCACCTGGATACATCATGGTAACAAGTGTATTCTTTTTCCCTACCATACCATGAGGTGAGGTGGGAAGGTATTCTTAATCTGTAGGACAGAACTAATCTAAGTTTTTATGTAGAAAGCCTATTGCAGACAAGAATTTAATTCAGGAATGACCCCACAGCCATGCACTTTGCCTATGCTGCTGCTTTCTGTTTGGCACCTAGGGAGTGTTACGTTTATTTTAGATGTGAGAAGGGCAGTCCATACAAGGGCTACATAAATGATGGGTAGAAAAAGATGTAGCTATTACTGCTATTTCAGGTGTTTATAGCTCTGCTCCACAAACTGAAATTCATGCAGAAGTACATTTTTATTATGTTACCTTTAATCTAGTGTAAATGCATTGCATTTATGTAGCATACACAGCCAAAGCCAGGAGCCAGCAGTATTGTGGCCATGTTCCAGACAGGTTTACAGTATCACTTGCCTTGCTCAGGATAACTACTCCTCACCCATTGTTGTTTCATGTATTGCAGAAAGTCCAAGGATGCATTCTGCAGTGGTCAATTAATCTCAAACACAAATTAAGAGTATATGGTACAGTGGCGAGCTTTGTTCAAGGCATAGGTATCTGCTCCTGTATTACAGAAAAAAAAAATGGAAACTTTAAATGTAATTTGTAAAACCAACTATAAAGCACAAGTGTCTCTGGACTCTTTTAAGTGATCTGGACACAGCAAAATTTAGTCTTCTAAGAAACGCTCCTCAAAGGTTACACACTTTAAAAGAAGAATTCAGTGAATTTTGAAATTAGAACTTTTCTTGTTAGAAAATATTTTCTCCTCAAACCACAAACGCAGAGCAAGGCTTAATTATCTTCTGACTTATTCGTAGGTTAACATTAGTGATAGTTATGATTTTGCACTAATAAGAAAGAGAGTATGAATTTAGAGTCTGCTTTTCTCTTAATTTCCAGTTACCTTATACAGAACAAAGCCTTCAGGCAGACAGGAAATGTTTTTTTCTGGAATAGATGGGTACATCTATTAGCAAGGTTTAGAAAACTTCAAGCCCAGTGTCACAGCCAAGAAGATAAATTAGAAACAGGATGATACAATTCAAGTTTCCGTAAGACAAGTCCAGGGGAAAACAAAACCCTAATGACATGCAGATAACAGCATCCGATCTTCACAACAGGATTTTGAACAGTGTTAGAGGATTAGCACCCAACTCATGCTGTACATTATGTTACTAACACAGAGTGGAACTGAAAACAGCAATCACAACATGCCACGTGTGAATTCCCTCAGAGGCAACCACAAAACAACTAATGAATACAGACATTTCTTCTGTCTTTTTTCCAGTTTGGGTCTAGCTCTAAAGTGGCTGAGAAGTAATTTTTTACATGAAGGTAAACAATTTTTTGTCTTAAAAGGAGAAAAAGAGTCTTAATCAGGTGTAATAGTACTCTTAAAAAAAATGACAAAAATTATCTTGGTTGTCCTCAAAAAACTTTAAAAAAAACAAAGTTTAGGGCAGTGTTCTCTTCAATGTCTCCATGCATAGTTTAAAATAACGATACTTCATTGATCCAAGTGTCACTAAGTGATGTGGAAAAAGCTACTTAATCAAGCACTTCAGAAGAGTTAGGCTCAGAAACTCAAGCCAAATTACATGAGCATGATCATGTTTATAGCTGCAAAGTGATTCCCAAGCTATTGTGATTCCACTGCTGCATGCCCTTTGAACTTTGGCCACGTGGTGTTGCCTTAACTCTCAACTGTATGCACTGTACACAGCACTGAAGGAAGAGGTGAACCTGCAGCCCGTCCCCTGCAAACATTCGCTGTTCTGTCCTGAAAGACACTGGAATTGTTCTGAACGGCCCTTTCTGAAAGTTTGCTAACTTCAGTGTACACAGATGTGGCAGAAGGAAAATTTTTCTGTTTGTGTCAGGAAAATGAGTGTACCTGTGTCCATGTAAAGTGTCACTCAAATGCAGCTCATGTTTGCTTTTATTAAAGTCTGAGGCTCTGATTGCATTTATTGAAGGAATATGGCATATATTAAATATTCACATGGCTTAGCTATAGACAGCATCTGATGTTATGTTTTCTCAAACTCTGTTTCTGTCTAAAATACTTCCCATTCAAACTCTAAACAACACATTTATACAGCTTTGACTTTTAAAATAAATCAAAGCTGCTGCAACATACAGAAGCCCAAACAAATATAAATTTGAGATGTGTTTTTTCATTTTCAAGCACATGAGAAATTTGCATTTTAGGAAGAAAAATTAAATTTGTTCTCTTTAACCTTTCCCTTCCACCCCCTACACTGGGAAAAGAAAAAATGTAAACAGTTTCAAAATACAGCTTTAAGAAAATAAACTGACTAGCTGGACAAATAAATGTTAGTATTTTTTCTTCAGTATTCTGCAGTTTATTAATGTTCTTAACAAAAATAAATTTATCAATAGGAATTGCTTTTTTTTGAAGTGGTAATATTTTTGTTCTCTGTTTAAGGATGTCATTGTGCAATCTGATATTGTTAATAGCTCTGTTTTTAGAAGACAAGTCTTATTTTAAGCACTTAAACAAAATTGAGATGTATCTATTTGATCATGTTAAAATGTCAAAATTATAATAAGTATTCGGGAAAATCAGATTTTCTTGCCCTCTATTGAATTAAGACTTTTTTTTCTTTTCAGTTATTTCATGGATGCATTAAAACTAATAAACATTAAGGCTGTTGACTTGTTCTCTGCCATTGTAAAATCTCCCACTCTAAGCGCAAAAGCACTATTAAAATGGGCAAAGAACAGGTATAAACTATTTCCTGTGTCTCACACCAGCACATTATGGTTTCATTTTGCCTTAAAGAGAAATACAGACTTTTATAATCTGCATGTAAGAGTGATTTTAGTAATTTAAAATTTTATGTGATAATCTAATATTACTTATGAGATGTTTAAAGTTCAGACTTGCCATGTGTAATTAAATCATAATCAATTAGCTAGGATTAGTTATGGAAGTGTGTCTGTAAAAAACCTAAGAGATCACATTGTTCCTTTGTCACCTCAGTGTTTTTGCTAATATTAATGTTAGTAAATTTGCAGTTTTTCTTTCTTATTCATGTAAATATGTGTAGAGAAAATATTTAAACAGAATACTCCCACTTCCTATGTGAAATTTACTTGCATTAAAAACAAATTTTCTGTACTTAAAATATGAGAAAAGCAAAAAACTTCACTGAAAGAAAAAAGAGGCTCCTGATTTTCAGTTGTGTGGTTCACTGATAGACCCTAATAAAGAAAACAAGCAAAAAGCACTTTTCAGATTCCTAGAAATCAAAAAAAAAAAAAAAATGCATTTTTTTATGCTTAAAAATAATGTATGTGTACCTAACAGAAATCAAGCATGTTTTTGTGAAAGCAGTGCAGTCAGGATACCAGTTATTTTCAGAGAGAGTATTCATTTGTAAAAGTTAGCTTTTTTCTTGGCAGTGTTGGAGTGGAATGTTGGATTTAATTTAAAATGATTAATGAGATTTTGTCAGACTCCCTGCCTTTACCACCACTGCAGTTTGTCAGCACAACAACCTGGGAAACCCGGACGCCACTCTGTCGCCCAAAACTGCTTTCCAGGAAAAAATAAACCCGAGTAACTAGTGCCAGGTATGTGTCAATGGTATTGTCTTTCAGCTGTTGAAAGTTTAAGCTGAGACATTTACACATTCTGAGGAAGTGAACCTCATTTGTTATTTCAATAGTCTGTTTTTGACAGCAGATACCCATGTATACTTAAATTTTAAGAGCAAGCATAGCCATTTTTTTAAACTTTATGGAAAAATCCTATAATCTATGCAGAAGAGAAATACTTTAAAAGGAAAAATATATGTATCAATGCTTATTTAGCTAAGTTTTTCTGGAGAAAGACCATCTATTCAATCTGTATACTATATGCTGTTAGGAGGAACTCATCCTTTGAGCATTATGCATGCCATTAGCTTGCTGAGGGGCAAGGAATGTTCTGTTGGACTTGAGGCAGATGCATTAATGTGTATGCCAAGAGTCAAAATCTGACAAGTTTGCAATACTTCTCATAAGTGACCATAACATAAGCAAATGAGTAATTCTTCTGAAATGGAAGGTTGATACTGAAAATTATTTACAATTTGTCTTCTTTGCTTTCCTTGTGGAAGTTTGTTCTGTTGGTCTACAGTTTGAGCATTGTGTTTTCTTACACATGAAATACTGAAAAATATTACTTCAATTTCAAAAGCAGCCTTCCCCTTCTGAGAAAGCATGCCTGCCTGTGTTGTGCAAGTCCTCCTGCAGTCACACAATGCTGTATCAAAAACCTCACCTTGCATTCACTCCTATGCACCCCCTCATACACCAGTTCTATCCATTATCTCAGCAAGCAAAAAGTCCTGCTGGCTTCACAGAGGTGTAGGTGTTGAAAGAGAGTTTGTACTGTTCTGCTGCAGCAGGCAGAACGTACTCCTTCATGGGGCATGATGGCACATGTATTCTTTGCATTGCTTATATCTTAGCTATTTTTTATGTGTTAAAAAAATTATTTTCACAACTGCAGTTTCCCTGTCTTCAGAATTCATGCTAATTGTCATAATTATATGTAACACAACTGAACTGAAATATATTTTTATAGCCAGAGAACTTCTTGAGTTTACTTGCCTTCTGCAGCATTAATCACCTGCATGACAGAACAAACGAGGAAATCACAGAACTTCTTTCCAAGTGCTAAAGAAGTACTTCTCTCAGCGTACTTCTTAAAAACAATCAAGATGCTGTATTTTTTCACATTAAATGTAACTTCTTGTTTCTATATTCCACTTAGGAATTTATATCAATAAAAATATTTATTACTGTTCCACACTGTCTGAAGTCTGACAGTCCCATTTCTGATTTTTACTAGCAAAAGCTGACTCCTCCAGATTCTTTTTCCTATGGAATAGCAGAATAAAATAAATATTCAACATTCATCTATCACTGCAAAAAATACAATAAGAAGTGCTTGAATCCTTTTTTCTCTATAAATGTGGTTTAAATGTATAATAAAACACAGAAGTCACATGATTAGTAATCAGCTTTGTTAAATTCTTTTTCAACTTTTTAAAAGTAAAACATTTCCCTTTCTTGCTATTGAATATTCACAATGTATGTAGTGCTGCATAACATTTACTGAAAATCACAGCACTTAAAGGGCTGATTTGAAGATCTAAATGGAACATAGATATTATTCTGGTTTCCTGTGCAAGATAGATTTTATTTAAAATCATAAAGACTCTGAAATGTATTGAAAATTCTTTTAAATTAGAGATATTTTATAATATTAAGTTAAATTCACAATCATAAATCAGGATTTATAGCCCGAGTCTGAAGACTCAAATCAGTAAAACAGAAAAAAGAAAAGGAAAAATAAGACTTCACTGAAGCTAAAATTTTGTTGCTTTTAAGCAGATCAAGACAGAAGTTTTGAAGAGGTGAGATGGGTGGTCTCTAAGATAATGTCTGGTCCCAGAATATTCATACCTCATCCTCCCTCTTTCCTGCAATAACATAACAGCTTTTCTGCCCTTCCCTGCACATCTGCTCCTCTCCACAGCTGTCCACAGAGAAGCAGAGCAGTCTCTCTTTGTAAACTACGGCCCTTCTCCCCAAATTAGTAAATAGCATGTAATCTTGTTATTTTTACAATATAAAGTGTTCTCTGTAATTTCTTCACAGTGGTTAAATAACAGAAACAAGAGAAATTAGCAGTTAAGGTGTACTCTCAGTGACTATCAATATTTTCTAAGTACAGACAGTTCAATTATAAAAAACAATAGAAGAAGAAGCCCATGTTGTAAAATGTACAGTTTTATGTCAATAACTTCATTCCAAAATCATCCACAAATTAATTTCATGAATGTTAAATAATGATATTTAGTCTGTTTTAGAAGTTGTTCACCACAAATTTGAAGAAGAATTTTACACAGAATATGAGATAATAGTTGGAGAAGCTTATCTGCATTTTCCTTGCCACGCACCTAACCAGTTACACCCTAGTGAAGTTGTTGCCCTACCTCTGTCAAAGGCAAATTGGTAACTCAAGGGAGGAGATTCAGAGTGTCACTGCATTGGAAGAAGTAAAGGCTTGGAAGTGTATTTAATGACTCACCTCCTAGCAGAGCCATGGTCTCAACACACTGTTTAAGGTGATAGATGTCACTGCGTTACCAACTGAAACAAAGCAGTATTCTCACGTCTTCTTGGATGATGTATTCTCAATAAAGAGGAGCCAAAAGCAGGCTGAGACTTTGGAGGTTTTATGCTTACTACAAGTACTGCTAGTAATATTGTTACTTCATACAAGTAGTGCCAAAAAGCATTTAACCTCAGAAAAAAGAGAAATAGTAAAATTCTATGGCCATGATGCAAAGGAGATCTCTAAAATCTCAGTCTAAAATCTCAGAGTCCCACCTGTACAGGTGCAGCAGTATACTGGTGTAAAGGAAAAGGCATCTCAGTTTAAGTATGTAACTACACATATTATATGATAACTATAGTTTTCTCAAGCAGTGATTAAGGTACCCAATTTGGCTTGACCCCCTTCAGAGCCAGTTCTCAGCATACAGGTGTACCACATAATGCAGCACAGGAGAATGTGTGTGTTAGTAGGCTGATGAGGTAACCTGTCTGCTCTGGCAGGCATTCTCACAAGCTACCTTTGGTGAATCAGTGGAATTTTAGACCTTCTGGAAAGACATTTGTTACTTGCCATATTAGAAAGTTAACAAGGGACACTCCAAGGCAGAAGAAAGCTAGGTTATAGGGTGGACAGGATGGGATTGTTGATATATGATATATATTGGTACAATATATGTATTGTATATTTCTATCCCACTTTCTTTCTTTTTCACTTTTTTAATATCCAGAAAAGCTTGTTTGTATTAATCTTAACAATCATTTAGCCCAGGATACAATGAAAACCCAAAAGAACAAACTGAATCTTTGAGGGTAAAAAAAAAAGTGTGTGAACTTGCACTGTTTTTCTAGAACATTAAAAAAACATAAAAATTATTAAGTATTTACAGAGTCTTCAGATACTACTTTAATTGTTATTTATTTCATTGTGCTATTTTAATTGGAAATTGATAAATTAATACATTTATCACTTATTGTGTCAGTCTTACCACAAATCAAGGCATGTTTCTGTGAAAGGACTCCATAATATATTGCTATGAAAAATAATACATTGGATCCACAAGAATAAAGCTGTGATTGATGAAGTGTTCACTTATATGGTAATAAGCATAAATTGTTATATGAAAATTAAACTGCCTTTTAACAAGTAAGTGATCCAATCCATTTTAAACACAAGTCCTTAAAAGGGGAAGGTCTTAGATGTAAGCCCGATCCTGTTCTGCTGACCGTACACATCTTTAAACACAGTAAGTATCTGAGAAGGCAGTGACACGATATTCCAGCTATTTATGTCTCTAAAACCCAGTCAGCTTGGAAGGTCATCAGCAAAACTCACTCTCCTGACGTGAGTAGTTTTTGGCTTAGGCTCCTTATAGGATTTGTTTTGACAGGTAACAACCATGGAGTGAAATGATCAAATACCAAGTTTATTCTTGATAGTTAAACTTACATAACAAATGCAGTAATTTCAAAAAAATAAAATTATTCCTGACAATAGCTGCATAGAGGCAATGCAGTCACAATGTCTTTCCTGAGCAAAAACAACACTCTGGCCCTCAATTTTACAAGCTTGTTTGGCAGTTTTTGCCAGTTGGGAAAAGCTCCTCTTGATGCTTTCTCCTACAGCACAGCTTCTGCTCTCTGAGCATCATTGCCCAGGCTTTCCTCAATGCTCACTATGCAGAAGGAGCCACAGTTTTGGATCATAGCCGCATAAGAACAGCACTCAGTTTCTGCAGTACCAACCAGTCCTCTATTTCAGTGAAACTCCTAATTTACACCAGCACAGAATATGTCCTCCTCTTTTAAGTCTGGAAACTTTATTATCCTTCTCCTACCTTGATATGCAACTATTCTTTCTGCATTGCTGGGCTGTTCAAACCTGTTGCACCCTTCATTTTATGAGTTCCTTGTTCACATATATCCTTTTGCAAGAAAAATGGACTCAGTGTCAAAAAGAGAGAGCACAAACTCCATGCTGTGCAGAGCTCTTACTATCAAAAGATCATTTATAAAAACAGAACAAAACAATACAGTGTATTTGCAAGGACCTATCCCTAGATACAAATATGTTTCAAATTAAAGCCTAGAAATGACTACAACATAAAGAATACTTTGCTGACTAGAAAATCTGGTAAACTCGTGTCTTTTACAGATAAATCTATTACATTCTTCTAAAGTGGCCAGGTTTCATGTTTTCAGCTACATATTCTTGACATTTTCTCTCTGACTATAGACATAATAATTTTTTTTAAATCTTTGACTTGTTTAGACACTTTTTTTCTCTTTCTCTTTTCCAAAATTTCCCATGCTGGTCTTAAAACATGCAATATAACATAACTTCCTAACAATACCTTCTACTTTTCCACTGTGATTTCCTGACTTGTCAGAATCTTTCTAGATACGGTTTCCCTTAGGCTTATAGAAAAAAAATTGTAACTACTCCAAAATTGACAGGGTTTATATGTATAAATTTATGCCTTGTATATATCCTAGGCTCCTGGTCTGCTTGCTTGCCAGCATGATTGATTGACTGTGTCCTGAAAGTTGTTTATAAAAACCGGCAGGCCCCGTATTTGTAGAGATCTGCAAACACCCAAAGAAAACCCAGCGCCCGGTGATCTCGCTGTTGGCTCTGTTCCTGCAGCCTCGGACAGGAGCACTGCTAAGGCGGTGCTCACAACTAATGCCAGCGGCGAGCTGCCCTTCCTCCTCCTCCTCCTCCTCCTCCCGGTCCCCGGGCCGCAGCTGTGCCCCCGCAGCCGGAGGGATTTGCCCGGTGGCCGGCCGTGGATGGAGGCGAAGCCAAGCGACCCTCGGGGATTGCCAGGGGAAATGAATCCGCTTGTCCTTGCTTAGGCTCCGAGGAGGCGGGGGCATGGTGTGCGGGGGGGAGAGAGATGGGGTTTGTTTTTTTCTTCTCCTGTTTCAGGAGGGTCCCCCAGAGTGACAACCGGGTCACTTCACAGCCGCGTCACCTGGAGCAAAAATAAAATGATGGAAAGTAAGTTACCCGCGGATTGAGAAGGTTTAGTACCATCTTTATTTATGTTAAAGCCCCGAGCCTCGCCCTGCCCCGCCCGGGGGGTCCCATCATCATCATTTGCTCCTGCTATAAGGGGGATTGAGGCGATTAGAATGAAAATAATTAAATGATTTTTCAATTCACCCCTTCATGCAAGGAGAGAGAGAGAAGGCAATCTACCTGGAGAAACAGAGAGAGGGGCTGTGATTCCCTTTTGAAAGGGCAACTTTTTAAAGGGACGGAAGGGAAGGGAGGAGCCCTAACAACTGTCAGTGTTTTCCAAACACGAGATTAATGCTGGCCAGACCTTCGCTGTAACGTGGCCCTACTGTTTTCAAATGGGGTTTCCAACCTGTAACTCTTAAGTCCCAGCACTGAATAATGAAATCAAAATAAAAAAAATTATTCTCAGACACTTCGGGGTTTTGTTCTTATTTTGGAGGTGGAAAAAAATCTTTTGGAGGTAGTTTATTTCTTTGTTGTTGTTTTTTCCTCTTACAAGCAAAATTCCTCTAATTTATCATTTGGAATAGAGCCATAATCCTGTGAAGGGATTTAAACATTTAAATATAACAAACAGTTTTTACTCTGATAAAGGGATAATCGTTTCGTCAGCTTCTCTTCTTTTGCAATGAAAGTGCTCTAACAAAACTGCTTATATCCATATGCACACAGTCACACTTTATGTTCATTCAGGTATCTTTATAAATCCGTACTTTAATACAGTAAATCAGTGTTTACTGTTTTATTTGCACGGATAATATTTAGAGATCAAATCCATATCCGAGAAAAGGCAAAACTCAAAGGTTAATTAGTTACAAGTGTTTTTGCTTTCTTCTCTTTCTCTTTTTTTTTTTTTTATTTTTTTTTTATTTCCTATGTAACATTAACATTGCAGAGCATATTAAAATACCGTGGTCCACCTGGGGAAATTCGCGTGAGATGTTTTCAAAGACAAAAGGAGACTGTCTTCCCGAGGACAGTGGAAGTCGCTGTGATGGTCGCGGCATCTGTTTCTCCCAGCTGTGCCTCGGTGTGTGCCAGCCGTGCCCCGCCGCAGCACCCCGGAGAGGCACTGCAGCCGTCCTGTTAGCTTCAAATGGGCTCTGACGGTGACATAGCACATCCCTTCACAGCTTACAGGGAGCTAAATTGCAATTTTAACCCCCCTGAAAGGACCGCTGCCGGTGGAGGAGGAAGGCGAGCCGGAGATATGCAGAAAATGCGAAGTTTACAGCCCTAATGCCTCTGCTACCTTAAGGCACAGCGCCAGAGCGGGTAATTCCTTTTACTAATTACTTGACAACAAGCAGATCAAAAAGAAAACTTTGTAAGAAGGACTTCAGGATCTGCAGGAGAGAATAACATTCCTGTGCTCCCTGCATACCCGAAAATCCTAACATAAATATTGTGGATGCTCTGCTCTCACCGGCTCTAAACACGTCTGCCCACAGGCAACACTGCGGTTTGGTTTTAAATGTTCTTCTACAGCTGGGAAATTGCTCTGCGGGGTGCTGTTATTTTTTAAATAGTAGATCTTTCAGGATTAAATTTAAGTATAGACGTGTCTTTGAATCAACGAGGAGGGGAAATCCCGCTTGTTGTCAGAAGTCAATTTTCAGCTATTAGAGAAGTTTGTAACTTCAAATATTTTGCTTTCCTCTATAAATGTTATTGGCCTGCTTTCATAGTTACTAAAAAATTTATCCGGCAAATCGAAGGCTGGAACCCGGCATTCATTTGGCACTAACTCCTTTAGTAAATACTTGTTACTACGGCGCAGCGCCCTTTGCCCGCTGGGTCTCGCCTCCAGCCCGGCAGTGTAATTCCTAGCCACCGAAGCGGTCATTAATGCCAAGCGTGCGGCTGCCGGGCGCTTCTCAGTCACCAATAAAACCTTTACTGCCGCCGGCCGCCGAGCGGCTTTGGAGAGCGCGCTTGTAGGCGCCCGCTGCCTGAGCCGCTCTGCCTAATGCCTCCCTTCCTGATCGCATTACCGGCCGCTCCCCCGGTACATTTATGGGCAATAAAAGCTCCCGCACGCCCGGCCGGGCCGGGCTCCCCTCCGGGCAGGACCCACAGCAGGTGACCGAACTCGCCGTTTTCCTTTTTCCCCGATCCAATGCCGAGCAGAAAATTCCTCGACTTTCCTCCCCTTCGTTTCTTCGTGAAGTCGCTCATGGAGCTTCGGAGGGGACGCGGAGCGCCCGCGGTGGAGGGCAGCAAAGGCAGCGCGGGGCCGGGCAAAGCGGATGGGCAGGAGGGCGAGAGGAGCGGGTGAGAGCGAGCAGCTCCGGCCGGGCCGGGCTCTCCGTGTCCCCGCTGTGTCCCCGCTGTGTCCCCGCCG